CACCCCATCCCTCAATTCTCCGTCTCTTCCAAAGCACAGGATAAAATTCTCTAGAGTTTCCTTAACTGCCTAAAGTCTAGTCCCACTAAAAAAAAGAAAACAATCACCTCCGGTTTCTCCCCTGAGTTTTCATGACCTGAACTCTATCGCAGGAAGGGACTAAAGTCTGTCAATACACCTGAATAGCATTTTGTCACAAACAATCGTTTTCTCTGTCAACCCAACAGATGTTGTCCCAGGCCACTGTTACTATTCTTCAAGTCCATTGAATTCCTCTAAATATCATTTACTACCCCCCTAAAAAGCATCGAGTCTTTCCCATCTCCCTTTGTCCTAAGAAGGGTGTCAGTCTGTGCCCTTGTGCGTGTGGGTGGGGGTCCTTGCTCTGTAATTCTCCCTGGTGTGTGTTCTTACATTGTAGGCCGGTGATTTTCAGCGAAACTCCAGAGGGTGAAAAGGAAGTTTTCCCTTGGCCCCTGAGGTCCGAAGCATATAGTCTGAAGAAAGTTTATCCTGCCTCTAACGTCTTTATACAGAGACTAGAGTGCACATATCCTACTGGGGGGAAATAAAAGCTGAAACGCTGCATTTCACAAGGTTTTCAGGAAGGGGTGTGAACAGCAGTTCTCTGGGAACAATAACGTCTAACGATTGTTTTTTCCCAGTCCAGAATCCCTGTAATAAGTTTGTGCCACGGGTCTGAGTGGTTATTTATCAGTAAGGAAACGTTTCTCCGGTTACCTATGCTGTCTTACTCGCATATCAGTATGTAATACATTGGAAACACCTTACAAGAGTGGGAGATGATGGCTTTTTCCAGTTATTTCCAAATGTATCCTTTGCGTACCAGTAGCACTGACAGTGATAGCCAATGGCGCGCAGCTAATCCGTGGGCCCTCATCAGCCTTTCTGCAGAGCGGTTTACGCCCACTGCCCACCGGTCCGTGCCAAGGTTTCCACCAGATAGCATCTGAGCAAATCTACTGACGCGATTGCAGCAGCCTGGTTATCAGCAAAGGCCTTTCACTTCCGATTTTGACATTTTCTTAATTCACTTACACATAAAATAAATAATCATCTTCTCTAAAGCGACAAAATACAGGGCGATGACAGGGGCACATGTGGCTGGTAAGCTGCACTATTCCGCTCAGGGGCCAGGATGGCCACCAAACGAGTTGTGGTGTCCGGGTTCCACATAAGTGGGCTGTGAATCTCTACAGATGCTCAGCTGCCTTGCTTGGTCGTTTCCAGGAATATCTTTTTTTATACTTACACTTTTCATGTTTCCACGCTCTTTTGTTTTATGTGGGGCCTCTTCTGTATACAATACCTATGTGGATTCAGGTTTTGTTCTTTTTGTCTTGTTTGAGACAGGGTCTCACTCTGCCACCCTGGGTAGAGTGCTGTGGTGGCATCACAGCTCACAGCAACCTCAAACTCTTGGGCTGAAGTGATCCTCTTGCCTCAGCCTCCCCAGTAGCTGAGATTACGGGCACCAGCCACAACGCCCATCTAATTTTTCTATTTTTAGTAGAGACAAGGTCTCTCTCCTGCTTAGGCTAGTCTCAAACTCCTGAGCTCAAGGGATCCTCCAGACTTGGCCTCCCAGAATGCTAGAATTTCAGGTGTTAGCCTACGTACCTGGCCCAGATTTAGTTTTTAAAAATCCAATTTGACAATCTTTTAATTGGTGCATTGAGTCCATGTATGTTTACAGTATCAGAATTACTGATAAATTTGAGCTTATTTTTTCAACTTAATATATATAATATGTATATATTCCTTCTTTCCTTTATAAATCTGAAAATTTGCCTGGCCATTCTCTTTTGTTCTTCATCTTGATGATTTCATTCTTTTTTTCCTTTTATTTTTTTTTGGGGAGGGGGGAGGGCAGAGTCTCACTCTGCTGCCCTGGTTGAGTGTCATAGCATCATAGCTCATGGCAACCTCAAACTTCTGGGCTCAAGTGATTCTCATGCCTCAGTCTCCTGAGTAGCTGGGATTACAAACGCCTGCCACTCCACTCACTCTTTATGAGTGACTTTAGCCATCTGGTTCAATAATCTGCAGTCCCTGGGTCTCTGTCTCTGCCTCTTCCCACTCACTGGGATCTGGTGATCCTGGACTAAGATCCTTTTGTTTAGTATTAATCTGGGTGACTCTGGTCAGGTATACTAGGGACACATTGCTCCAGATGAAACAGGTACCCCCACCCCTGACTGGAGGATTTTCTTCCACTTCTGCTTGAAACTAAAGATGGCACTTTCTTAGTCACCTCTGCCCTTACCCCTGTACCTGACCCCCTACCTCATGGCCCTGCTAGGGCTCTGCATTCCAGAACAACACCCCAACCACCCTGGATTCCAGGCCCCAGTTCTGATCAGTTTTCTTGTTTTCTTTTCTTTTTTTTTTTTTTTTTGGTGAGGGGAGTTGTGACAGGGTCATTGCAGAATGCCTCTACATGGTGTGAGGCTCCTGATTCCCCAAAGTGTATGTCCTAGACTATCTCCTAGTTCAGGAGTTTTGCAGTAAGACCAGTCCTTGGTGAATCTACTCAGGCAGGATGCTAGGTTTGCATAAACCATTTACCAGAGAAAAGTTTTGCTAAAGCCTCTGTAACCCCCTAGAGCTTTGCCCTTCACTTTTGGCTGTGCACGTGGCCTGGGGACAGCTCTCACAGTCCAGGGCCTTTCCAATTTTGCTCCAGCTTTGCTCAGGAACTAATCGCTCCGAGTTTCTCTCTCCAGTCACTCCTAGAGCACAGTCAACCTTGGGCATGCACGCGGTCTTCCAGACCACCAGGAAATGAGTGTGATTTTTTATTTTTAAGCCTGACTTCCTAAGAATCCCCACTGGGTCAGAGCAGCTCATTGTTCAGCTGTTGCTAGGTCAGAGTTTAAGCTTAAGCCCTTGGAGTCAGTAAGGCTGTTTTGCTGAGAGATCTGTGTGTGGTTCAGGGAAGGATTTCAAGTCCCTGTGCTTTCCACTCTGATGTCTCCCAAGTGGGTGCAGCCCAGCGTGTGTATACAGCCTTCCGAGTCCTAGGGGATGACCACAATCCTCGAAGGCCATTTTCGCCTGGCTCTGTAGACAGTTCTCTGATACATTTCTTACATTTTATTTGTTGTCATGAATATCTTTACCAGCCCCCTCTTAATTGTTAGCCACCAAGATGTTCATTATTTTCGACAGCTTCCTCAGGCTTATTTCCAAAGAAAATCAGTCCCTTCAGGAAAAGCTGTGGCATTTCCCTCCATAAAGCCTGACTATCTCCCTGGGCAGAACTTCTGTGCCACTGCCCTAGAGCTGGGGGTAGGGAAACCAGCCTGCCTCTCCCATAGTGACTCTAGGAATAGTCACTGCTCTAGGAATGAGCAGTGGTTGTCCCTTCATCTAAGGATGCCCCTCTCAGCATGGAACCTCTGCCCTGCAAGGGAGTTAGGGCCCAGGATTCCTGGCCTGCTGTACCTGAGCCCTGGCAGTGGGAGCTGAGCGGGTAAAGGGAATATAGTGGGTTGAAATGATATATTGAAATCAAATACGATATGCTGATGTCCTGGCCCCAGGTCCTCCAGAGTGTGACCTCGTTTGGAAACAGGGTCTTTACAAAAGCAATCAAGTTAAAATGAGGTCGTTAGAGTGGGCTCTAATCTGACTGGTGTCCTTGTAAAAGGAGGAAGTTTGGACACAGAGACAGACAGGCACAGAGGAAAAACAGACACAGAGGCTGTGCAAAGACGAAGGCCCCTGGCCCCGGAAACTGCCAGCACTATGCCAGAAGGTGGGTAGCACAGCCTGTGTGCCCCTAGCATCCAGAACGGGGTGACAATAAATTCCTGTTGTGGAACCTCCATTCTGTGGTACTTTGTTACGGCAACCCCAGGAAACTCAGTCCTTTTGGCCATGACGGCCTTCAATAGGGCTTGTCCAGCTGTGGAAACCACAGATGCCAGCAGCTGCCCCTACTAGGTGATACTGTAGAAGACTGGCTGAGGGTGTGGGAGCCCCATTTCCTTGGCCACAGAGTAGGGTATTTGGACTGGAGTTTCTGTCACATGGAGCACGAGGTGGCTCAGATGCCACAGATTTGCCACTCTTCCTGAGATGTACTGATCTTGAATAAATGTCTCTCTGTTTGCTATGGGCCCTTAGGACAATTCCCTGAGACTTTAAATAGTTGATTTTAAGTATTTTTGTTTTTTCTATCAATTGAATGGTTGTTTCACCTCCTCCCAACACCACTGTGGAAGTGACAAGTTTCATCCCAGTTTTTGGAGGACTGGGATGAAAGGATTAGAATGTACCCGTCATGCTGCTCCCCCTCTTCCCGGATGGGCCAGAGTCTTCTCCCCTTTCTCTGCTGACAATGGAGACTCGAGACCCCATCTCTCCTTGCCCTCTGCAGAGCAGCAGAAACAGGAAGTCGCCCAGCCTTCATCACGCAGAAGAGGACTTGGCACTTGTGGGAGCCCAGAGGGTACTGGGAGCAGACCCCTTCTGGGAGGCAGGTGCCAATCCCAGGAAAAGGGGGGGAGGGGCAGAGTGAAGTGGGCAGCAAAAAGGGGCTTCCCAAGGCGGTGCCTGTCGCCCAGTGAGTAGGGCACCAGCCCTGTATACCGAGGGTGGTGGGTTCAACCCTGGCCCCGGTAGGAATTGCAACAAAAAAACAGCTGGGTGTCGCGGTGGGCGCCTGTAGTTCCAGCTACTTGGGAGGCTGAGGCTGGGCCTAAGCCCAGGAGTTGGAGGTTGCTATGAGCTGTGATGCCATAGCACTCTACCAAGGGCGATAATGTGATACTCTGTCTCTACAAAAAAAAAAGGCGGGGGAGGCTTCCCCCACACAGGGACATGGTGAGGAAAGGGGTGGCTGGGCTGGTGGCCCAGAGCCAGGGCCCCCTGCCAGATACAAATGGCTCCTAGTTGACACTCATTAGATGGTATATTATTCCCTCTTTTCTCTTCCTACAAAAAGATACTATTTTCTCCAGTCAGGTCCCTCGAGGTGAAATAGTTTATTTAATTCAGAGGTGAAGAAAAGACACAAGCAAGTACAAGCCAAGTCCGGCAGGTCCATCAGCCTTGAAGCCGGGAAGTCTGTGCCATCCTCCCAGGCTTTTCTGGTCCTGATCTCCTCTGAGGCTCTCTGCCAGGTGCCCCTCATTGCCACAGGGACAGCGCCAGCTCAGGGCACTGTGTTGTAGACCCTGTAGTTGTCTTTCTGGGTGACATGCAGCTTCCAGGGAAACAGGCGCTTCTGGGAGGGGAGTCCTCGAGCCTGCCGCACCATGACCCCCACGTCCTCATCGGACAGCAGCCGGACCAGATCCCCCTCAGCATCCCTGTAATTTAGGACAATGTCTTCTCTCTGGAACTCCCGCCTATGTGGGAAACATCAGGGTTAATCAGGGGCCTGAGGAGAGATCCCAGGGGCTTGGGCCTAGGCAGGGCCAGGGAGAGGAGCAAAGAGAGCCTTAGGGCCTGGGGCCTGGGTCTAAGAATCAGAAAAGGTCAGAGTTTGACAAAGGCCATTATCATCCAAAGAGTCCCACTTCCCAAGGTACAGATGGGAAAATTGAGGCCCAAAGGAGAGAAGGGACTGTGACAATAAATTATTGTGCTATAGTGAGGAAGAGGACTGGCTTTGGTTCTGCCCTGGCACAGACAAGGGCAGAGGAAAGCCCTGGAGAGGAGAGCTTGGTAAGCAATGGAGCCTTCTGATGTGGGGTGCAGGGAGGCGGGCGTTCTTCCAGCTGGCTGCAATGTAAAACTTGATCTGATCTTCCCACAGGGAATCCATCAAAATGGGCTAGAGGCCTAACAGACTCGCAAATACTTTGATCCCCAAATTCCACCTCTTGAAAGTCATCACAAAGCAATAATCAGATGAGTCACCCAATAGGCAAACCAAGATGGTCATCACAACACTGTTTCTAGTAGTGAGAAAGTGGGAGCAATCCTCAGGGGCCCACAGCAGGGCATGGCTCTGGCCCTGGAGGCACGGCTGCAGAAGGGCTGCGGGCAGGCAAAGTCACGTTTGTGTGTGTGTGTGGGGGGTGTGTGGTGTGTGCGTGTGTGCATGTGTGTGGCATATGTGGTGTGTGTGTGTGGGGGGGTGTATATAGGGTATATGTGGGATGAGTGGGGTGTGTGTAGGGTGTGTGTATAGTGGGGTGTGTGTATGTGATGTGCGTGTTGTGTATGAGGGGTGGTGTGTGTGTACTGGAGAGATCTGAATGTACAGCAAAGAATGAGACAGATAAACATATAAGGTGAGTCTACCTTTTGGTACACTTCTGACATGATTACCGACATGTCTTGTTCTGTAACAAGCAGGTATTACTTTCATAGTTAGACACCTAACAATGCTGTTACCGTTCTGTAAAATAACTGTCTACCAATCAAAGGTAATGATTTCCCTGATGGTGGAGAACCCATGTCCAAGGCTTCTAGCCAAAGAGACTTGGCTGAAGCCACAGGTCTCAATCTGGACTCATAAACTGTGTGGCCTCAGCCAAATCCCTTTACCTCTCTGCAACCCCGCTCATCTCCAGCCCCGGCAGGTGATGCCCCCACTGTACCCAGCAGCTGACCACTAATCCTTGGCCCTACTCCCTCTGTTCCCTTCTGCAGGGTCTGGGCCTGCCCCCGCAGCCCCTCACCTCATGAGCTCCAGCAGGTCTTTGAACAGTGGTGTGCTGTTAAGGTCCTCCTCCACCGCAATGTCCCTAAAGGGGCAACAGGCCAGGGTGAGGGGCTTCAGGCCAGAAAGGGGGCGTGAGTGAAGCTGGCCAGGCTGTGCTGGACCTTAACAGCACTGTGACAGCGCTGTGGTTTGTCTGGAAGGCAGTGGGAGCCACAGGGAGCTTTGGTGTTAGGAGGGGACACAGGGGGCATATGGAATGGGGGATGGTAGTGGCAGGGACTGCAGGAAGGGTGGCAGCCCCTCCCACCCACAGGCCACGCACTTGATGGTGCTGATGGTGTCTTCATAGTAGTAGCAGCGCAGCCAGTTGGTGGGGTCGTCTTCTTCAGGGAAGTCCTTGAGAATCTTTACGAAGGCAAGCGGGAAGATGCCTGTGGCTCCCCGGACAGTACCCTGGAGAGGAAGAGAAGGGACGTCTGGTGGGCTAGAGGAGAGGCGGGAGGACCATGCTTCAGAACCCCTGGCCCCTTTCCAATGACAAGGACAGGCAGGGAGATCTGGGTGCCCTTGTCTAGAGGGAGGAGAAGACAGGAGGGGTTCACCTGTCTGTCCACCTTAAGTAGACTAATATTTTACTTCTAGAATAGCACAAGATCTGAATTTATCATCCCTGCTTAGCTGCTTTCAGCTCACTCATTTGTTCATTCATTCATTCATTCATTCAATAAAGGCTTTTCAAGCACCTGCTATGTGACAGGTACTAGGCTCTCAACACTGATGGAAGTCCTTGTCCTCATGGAGTTTCTGTCACCATGAAGGGCGATAGGTGGTACGTGTAAACAGTGACCTACTTGGGGAGCCCAAAGGCAGTAGGTGTTAAAGAGGAAAATAGAACAGGGCAAGAAGAGGATGAGGAGTGGAGAAGGGCCTGCAGGTGACCCCCACTCATTCATTCATTCCACAGATGCCACTGAGACCTTACCCTAAACCAAGTAGCCAGAAATCTCTTCCTCTAGCCCAGGCCCCTCTCCCACATGCCAGACCAAGACCCGGCCACTGCCTGGGCTTTGCACATGGGTTCTCTTAACCTTCACAGTGACCCTATGGAAGATGATTATGGCATGATTTACATGCCACTTTAGAGACCTATAAACCGAGGCTCAGCACAGCCTCTTCCAAGCTGCCTGCCCCTCCTCCAACCTGAGGCCCAAGGCCAGCCAGCATACTGACACACAGGACTTTCCAAAAAACAGGAAGGTGATAAATGTTTCCTATGTCTGGAGAGTGACCCAAGGACCCCTCCCATGGCTGTAAGAGCTGCAAGTCCCTGAAACAGAGCTCCAGGATTGGGTCAAATTGAAACTGTGAAACCAGCTAGACCAGTCATCACTTGCTTCTCTCCAGCACATGGAGACCAGGGACTTGACTTGACCCTCGATGGTGCCAAGACCTTTGGAGACTGGTCTTGCCTCTAGACCCGTCTGGAATCATCAGACTCCCCCTAACCCAGGAGCACGGAGTCCAGATAAGATCCGATGCAAAAGGTTGGCCCGACCCAGAGCCCCCATGCAGTGATTTCCTGTCTCCACTCCCTGAATCAGAATGGAGCCCTCTTGCAGGTCACCAGGGACAAAGCAGTGATGGGGACAGGCACAGCCTTTGAAGCCTCATTTAAGTCTCCGAAGGACCCTCACACCCAGCCAGGCGCCACACATCCGGGCTCTCGGTATGTAAGCCCTGTACAGCTACCGTCTCCTTTACCCCTTTTGGGAACATGATGAAGAAACATTTACAGAAAAGGAAACCATAGGATTGCACAAGTTTCCAATAGTTCCACTGAGTTGGTTAAAAACATCGCTAGTACGTGACCAACACAGGCACTCTCAAGACTCATACTCTTCATTGCAATCTCTTACTGCTGCTGTCAAGGTAAGGTCAGCCCATATTACAGACCAGTGGTTTTCAACCAGGGATGACCTTGTCCCCCTCAAGCAAAAGTCTAGAGACCCGCATGATTGCTGTAACTGAGAGGTGCTGCTGGCATTCATAGGGAGCCCCAAGATGACCACCCTGCTATGCCCAGGACAGCCCCACCACAAAGAGTTATCCGGCCTCTTATGTCAATAGTACTACTGCAGAGAAACCCCATTACAGACCAAGAAACCACACTCAGTGGGTTGACTTCCTTGCCAGAAGCAATCCATTTGTCAGGGTCAAAGCCAAAGGCAGGTGGGCAGGTGCATGGGCTCCAGAATGTTCTGCTCCTGCCACACACCTGCCTCACAGTGGCTGTGTTCCTGTAGGCTTCCCTACCTGCCTAGATCTTCAGGATTATCCTGAGATGGCATCTCTTCCCTGACCCCTCCTCAATCTCTGCACCCCTACCACCCCTAAAGCTAGCTCACCTCCATACTCACCTCCACCTTCATCTCCACCCTCATCTCCATTCTCATCTCCAAACTGACCTCCACCCTTATCTCCACTCTCACCTCCAAACTCACCTCTACTCTCCCATCCACAGTCACCTCCACCTTCACCTTCAAACTCACCTCCAGCCAGTCTTTGTTGATCCGACTGAGAAGGAAGATCACATCTCCAGCTTTGAAATTCAGCTCCAGCTTGCTGTTCCCAGTGAAATCAAACATGGCCTGAGGAAAAAAGTAGGGTAAGGAGGGAAGGAGGAAGCATACTGAAGTTCCTTACGTGCTCGGGGGCCCATTTTACAGATGGGGAAATGGGCTCAGGGAGAATGAGTGACTTGTCTGAGGCCATCCTATGTGTTAGAAGAGGAGCTGGGGTTTGAACCCAGGTCTCCCTGACTCCAAAATGGATGCTCTTTCCAGGACTGGTGGGATGAGCACACAGGGAAAGGGTCCAAACTCTCTGGACCAAGCACCTTCCCCAGCCCCCAGGCCTCACTGCAGGCTCTAGGCCTCCCATAACCTCCAGCTGCCTTCTGCCAGGGCCCTCCCTGCCTTCACTGATTTTTAAGATGCCCATTGAGGCTTCAAGCTCCTTGAAGATAGAGCCTTGTCTGAGTCATCTCTGCTGCTTCTGCCTCCAAGGCAGGACTGGTCCAGTGATGGCTAAGGTAAGCTGGTGGGATGTGCCATTGGTAGATATGGTCTCCTTAGCTTCTATGTGCTGGTCACTTTCCCTCCCCTTGGCTGTACTGGTGGTCCCCATGAAAGAGGCAGAGGCTGCAGGGCCCAGAACCATCCTAGGCTCCCAGTAGCGCCCAGCAGGAGGGGCTCAGTGGCCGACAGGTGGAGCAGGGCTGCTGCCCCAGGGGGAGGACATGGCGCCCATACCTCTGCTCTCGGAGCTGCCATGAGTTCAAAGCCAGCACCTTGTGGAGACACGCTCTTGCTGTGGAGAGAAGATTTGAGATTCTCTCTGAGCCTAGCTCCCTGATTCTCTGCCAAAAGGTGACCCTTACCAAGGCTCTGTCCTGCTTTTCCTTGGATTCTTACTAGCAGCAACTTGGACTTTGGAAGTCCAGCAGGATTTTAGTAGCTTGGAGATTTGATGATTGCCTTTTGCTAACAAGGGGGCTGGAAGGGAGGGGTGTGCTCTTTGGAATAAAGGAACAGCAGTGTCATGGGGAAGCCCATGTGGTACCACCAGTACTAAGGGACAGACAGCCTCAGGGACTGCAGCAAACCAGGGAATCCATTCCAGGAGGAGCTGGGGGACATTTGTGAATTAAGTGGCTCTTCCCTCCTCTCTGCTCCCCACTCTTTCCAGGCACCCAGAGTTCTTGGGCCATCCCCAGTGGTCACTGTGGCACCAAACCCTCCAGGGTTGATGTCCCAGTCCCCCTCCTCCACTCCTCACTATCTCATCAAAGCACACACCCTCTGTCCCTCCAGCCTGAAGCTGACTATACAAACTCATCTAATAAAGCAAACCCTCCTGGAGTGCCCAGGGATAGAATGGATCTGAATTCCTTCTCTCTTTCAAGGGAAGAGAGATAACTTTCCATCAGGGGCCTAGGCCTCTGGCCTGGTGAGCACAGCAGACAGTCACCTACCCTTTCCGGGTACGTGGGCGGAGCCTGCGGAGCGCCTGGGGCACCTGTTCTGAGTCGTAGGGTGACTGGTAAAAGAAGATCCGGACATCCTCATCCATCAGCACCCAGACAGGCAGACTCAGGAGGCTCTGTGTGGGAGAGGGTGTGGAACAGGGGGTGTCAGCAGAAAGACCTGGGCGCCCCATCCCTGCCTCTCGGTGTTAGCCCTCCTCTCTCTATTAATGCATCCTAAGCCTGATGCCTGAAACAAAAATAGATTTAAAAAAAACAAACTCAGCAGGTTGAAGGTAACACTTCACAAATTTTGTTCCTGGGTTCAAGGTCAGGAAGGGACACTGGCTATTTGGAAAGTTCTCCAAGAACAACAAGGGTGATGACAGGTAACAGGACCTGGTGGAGACTATGCCAGGACACATGTGTGTCCTTGCGCTATCTCATCATAACCTGTGAGTTAGGATTAGAGAGGTGAAGGACCTGCCCAGGACCACACAGTCAGTGACAGAGCTGGGGCACCCAGAGCCATCTGCCTTACTCCTTAGCTCAAGGTAAGACAACTGTGTTTCCAAAGTTCACCATGGCTGGGGTCATTACAGCCTTAAGAATGCTTCCTCATACTTTATCTCATGTCACAGTTGGAGAAACTGAGGTTTGGAGAGGGAAAGTGGCCAGTCTAGGGGCAGAGCTAGGAAATGGTCAGGACTCAAGCCCTAGTCTCCTCATTCCATTTCGCGCTGGTTACACCCATGCAAGGCCCCTGAAGCTGTGAGAACTTCAGCACCCAGAGCCGGGTGGTGTCCCCCCCATACGCTGCTCGGCTCCAGGAACTGTGGGGTTGGCTCTGTCACAAGGGTCTCCTGGAGGCAGCAGGACAGGGAAGGGCCAGGGACTCTATCCCAGAGGAATGGGGGATGCAGAGCCTGGAAGAGCCTGTCATGTGGGGAGAGGCTAGAGGCAGCGTGGCAGGTGTTTAAGGAGCCAGGAGCTCCTGGGACCCAATCCCAGCTCCACCATGCACCAGCTGGGGGACTTTGGGCAAACATGGCTCTAGATGTCCATTGATGAAATGGGGATGATAATAACAGCATCTCCCTGGTGGGAAATTAAATAAGTAAATACATGCACAACACTTAGAACAGGTGTACAGTAAGTGCCCGCCTAAGTTAGAGAGCATCACTGTCGCTGTTTTTGTTTTGTTTTGTTTTGTTTTCTATTACAACATAGCACAGTAGGTAGGAGCTCAAACCCTGGAGTCACAGAGGTGTGTGTTCAAATCCTTTCCCTCAACCTGACTGCTCTGTGACACTGAGGGATTCGCCTGTCTGTGCCTCCATTTCCTTACCTGTCAATGGGGAAATAGCACCTAACTCATGAGTTATTGAGGAGATTAAATAAAAATATTCATTTATCCATAAACGTGCACCAAGAGCATCCTGGTTGGCAACGCAATCACTTTGCACAGTTTCAGGCCAGTTGTCATTGTGACATGATTCACATTCTTCATGAGGACAGGATGGAGATCAGTGGGTAGAAATTACAGAGAATTGGGCTTTTCTCATAGCTGCCCAACAATGGGACAAGCAGGTCAAGGCAGAGTCAAGGCAGAGTGGTAGTGAGCTCCCCATCTCTGAGGGTGTGCAAGCACAGTTTGGGGTTGCTATAGTGGAGATTTCTGCATTGACTAATCTCAGGGATGATGGGACCCTCTGGTTGCTAAGCCTCCAGGTGTGGAGTGAAGAGCCTGGGCCCGATCCTCTCTCCCTACCTTGTCTTCCTCCTTCCCTCCCTTCAGAGTCCACCCCCAGAAGGAGGGTGGAGCCTCAGCCACATGGGAGCAGCTGTCACTACGCCCTCTTGAGGGTAGATGCCTTCAGTGCAGGCTTCCCTCCCTCCCTTCTCTTCTGAGCTCAGAGCCCAGATTTCCACAGCCCCCTGCCTTCTCCTATATCCTCCCACCTCCTGTGCCCTCCTCCCACGCCCTCCATTAAGATTCAAGAACTTTCACATCTGGAAGCAGGGTCACAATTTACAAAGCACTTTCACATCCTTTTCTCAAAAGATCCCAACTTTACTCCCATGAGACCAGAGGGTTCTAGGTGCTGTCCCATTTCATAAGTGGGAAAACCAAGGCCTAGAAAGAACGAGTGTCTTACCCAAATCACCCAGCCAGTCTGTGTCAGAGCCAAGACCACAGAGCCTCCAAGTTCAGGGCTCCTCAGCCATGAGGACACTTGTTGTTTATGAAGGGGATTGCTTTACCAGCTTTCTACGGTCTAACCTCATGAGGAGTGCTGCACCTTTCTGGATGGCTCTGATTAATGAAATCCTTTCCTGATCATTTTGACTTCTGCCTCTAAGCTGTTCCATCCTCTGTGCTCCTATTTCACAGGGACATCGACAGTTTGCAGGTTGGAGAATACTCTAGGGTGCCCAGCCAAGACCCCTGAGCCCAGGTAAAATCCATCCTATGCTAAGGTGAGGGGTGTGTGTTGGCCCAGAGGGGAACCCTCTCTAGTTTGCACAGAGGCCCTGTATGAGCGATCTGTGGCCTCATTAGTCACCACCTGGGGATAGAGGTGTATGCATGCCTCCAAGTGACCACACAATCCACCTGCCTGTATTCTCATATAGCAGTGGGTCCCTTGGGGATAAGTGTTGCATCAAATTCACTGCTGTGCCCTAACTCCTGGCACAGACATTTGCTTTGACTCGGAACACTAATAAAGATTTGTCGAGTCAAAGTGCAGCTCCTTGTACCTTCTCTGTTGCTCCTCCCACAATCCCCAGAACCCAGAGCACACATCATGTTTCTCTCCCCAGGCTAGACCTTTAGGAATTGAAGATGGCCATCCAGCCAAGAGCCAGCCCCTATGCCCCAAAGCCATGCCCCAGGGGTGGTGCCTAAGTCTCCACTCCAGCACTCCCCATCCTCCCAAGTGCCAAGAGGTGGCCCAGTCCACTGATACCTTCATGTAGGCGTTGAGGGCAGGTATCCGCATCTCAGCAATCTCCTGCTTCACACCAACATAGACCTTGGCTGAAGAGAGGCAAAGAGCTGTCCTAGGAGCCTGGGCCAACATGGCCTGGGGCTCGGGGCTTCCCTTGCAGGTCAGGAATCCTGGCCAGAGCCCCTCCCTGCTTATTCATTATGGCCTCCCAGGCACCAGAGTGGTCACTCCAGCACCACCCCACCATCCAACTTGTGTTCTGAGTTGCACTATCATCAGCTGATAGTTTTCTTGTTTTACTTATTCGTTCATTGCCTATTCCTCCAAACACACACACACACACACACACACACACACACACACAGGATTCTTAGTTCCAAGAGAACAGGATCTCTGCACTGTTCACAGCTATATTCCTGCCACCCAAGACAGTGGTTTCCAATCCTGGCTGCACATTCAAGTCACCCAAAGAGCTTTTCAAAATCTCCCTGTGTGGGACTAACCCAAAAATAGTCAAATCAGAATCTCTGGGGTGGCTCTCAGGAATCAGGATTTTTTCAGTTTTTCAAGGTATTTCTAATATGCCACCAAGGCTAAGATCCATGGGTCTAGAACCATGCCCAGGTGAATAAATATTTGTAGAGTAGATGAAGAATTCCTCAAGGCAGAACATTCTGGGGGAAGGGAAATTCATCGTGACCAACCGAAAGATGTGATTCACATCTGAAAAAGGTCATCTCCAGAAGCCTTGAGGCGGGAGCATGGGTGGAGCCATTCCCCTAAGTCTGAAACCCATCTGGCCCCAGTGTCCACAGGGCAGGAAGGGGTAGTGTCTGCTGGTGGCAGGAGGGTCTGAGCTAGAGCTAGACATTTGGGAGTTAGTAGCAAGAAAGCTGACCCTGGTCAGCTTGCCCAGGTGTGTGTTTGGAAGGAGAAGACAGAGGCCTGTGTCTGTCCAGAGAACGCACACCTTCCAAGGAGCAGCAGAGAAGGTAGACTCAGTAATGGGGAGGTGAGGTAGGAAGGGAATTGGGAGACACTGGTGCAAAAGAAGGATGCAGAAAACTCAAGGGAGGAAGGACCAGAGGTGTGAGGATGAGACCAGAGATGAGCCCACAGAAGCCAAAATTGGCTGGTCACACCCAGCCCACCTTACCCAGAGGAACGTTGTCAGTGGAGCAGTGAGAGTGAAGCCAGGCCAAGGAGTGGAGAGGAGGATGGTGACATGAAGGTAAGACCATAAGTAAAGATTTGTCAAAGTATGAAAAAAGCCATCTCTAAGGGCTCTGGGGACACAGAGGCTCCAGGAGAGGAGAGCAGCCATGAAGGAGCTTAGCAGGGCAGGTTCGTATAGCAGGGAGAAGGCAACTATACAAGGAAAATGAGGGGCAGGTTGTCTGGGAGAGCCCCCAAATAGAGGAGACCCCAGGGGGAGAGGTTGGCTTAGAATAGGCAAGGCCCCTCGATTTCCTTGGTAGGGCTAAATGAGGAAAAACATGGTTATATTCTGAGATGGGGGGTGGGGGTTACAGTGGGGGCTAGGGGAGGAATGGGGGAGAGCAGAGAAAGGGAGAGATAGAGAGAGGGAGGGAGATAGAGAGGAAGAGAGAGAGGAAGTGTACACAAGCTTGAGGAAGGGTCAGTCAAAAAGAGTCCCTGAGGTTTGAGGAAGGATGATAAGGGTCCCTGTTTTCCACCTGTAGAGCATAGAGGGCTCCACTAAGACCACCTCCTTGTAACCCTCCCATCATGAGAGGTTCCCTCCTGGGGGCTCAGGCAGCAGGGATGGGAGCTGAGGAGCCAGAAGTGTGGAGCTGTCCCAGGTGCACTTAGGACAGAGCGGGGGAGGAAGGATGGGGAGGTGTGAGGGGACTGTCCATTCCTGGCAGGATGGGAGTGGGGAGAAAGGGAGCCACAGAGACTGGTGGGAGCTCAGACTGGGGAGTGAGAGGACTCCTGGAAGGAGGCAGAGGGAGGCTGGAAGATGGTATGTTTCAAAGACCCTCGGGGACCCTGTCTGCTGTGCTCCAGACTAAGGCCTCCTCAGTGGTGAATGGCAGGAACAGGAGGCTGTAAACATCACAGCAGGCCAAGGGCCGAGCAGCTGGAGCCCTTGGGGTAGAGGCAGAGAGGCAGATGGAGCAGGGAGGGCTGGCAGTGCCCCCCACGCCTCTAATGGACTAAATGCATAGTATTCACTTAGGAGCTGCAAGGAGGGGGCAGTGTGGATCCTACCTGGGAGCACCGGCAGGCTGCAGGCCAGGGGGCTCTTGCTCTCTGGCCCAAAGCGCTCCTCCAGCTTGCTCTGCAAGGCATAGAACTGGCGGTAGCGGCGGTAGATGAGGTACTTGGAGCCCCCTTTTGTCTTCACCTCAATGACAAAAACCTAGGGATGACACAAACCAGGCAGGAGGCTCAGAGGCCAGGGGTGGAAGGCAAAAGGAAAGGGGGAAGGTCAGAGGTCAAAGGGGTAGCACGGGGCTTCTCAGCCTCAGCACTGCTGGGGGCTGTCCTCTGCATATGGCCCGTGTAGCAGCAGCCGTGGCCTCTGCTCACCAGCAGCAGCCCTGTCCCTAGATGCAATAGTCAGAATGTCTCAGGGTATTGTCAAATGTTCTCTGAAAGGTAAAGTCAGCCCTGTTCAGAACCACTGAGCTAGAACGTAAGAGATAAGAGAGCTAGACGTGCAGGGGTTGGAGGGTAAAAGTTGAGAGGTCAGCTGGATGGAGGTTCACTGGGCAGAGGGTTAAGGACCAGGGGTCTCTCTTACAAAGTGGCTGGTGAAGCCTCTCTTCTCCTCAATGTCGGCAATGTTGGCTGAGATGGCAACGTCATCTGGAAGCTGTTCAAAGTCACTGAGGGAGGCCAGAAAAGAAATCCTGGTTATCACCCTGATGCAAGCCACGGGCCTCTGGGTGTGAGGTGGTGTGCAAAGCAAACTGATGGTGTACCCGGCATTTCTCCTTCAGCAACCCTCCCGTGCTGGGCCCAGTCACTGACAATGATGAACACAGAGATAACAAGACACAGATGAGGCCTTGCAAGTGAAGGCTTTGAAGCTGGGAACCCTACATACACAGCCTTATTATTGTCTAAAAAGCCTTTTTGCAAGTGCATTGATCCAGGAACTAAGTATCAAGCCCCTCCTCCATTCCAGGCCGTGTCCTAGGCCCCTGTGTCATGGGGTAAATGAGGTCAACATGCCCTGGACAGGGTACTGTGGGAGCCCCACACAGGAGGACTAATTATGCCCAAGCTACGGAAATTCTCAAAAAGGAAGTGACATGTGAGCTGGGAACCCACTGGGAGGTTCTTCCAGGCAGTGGGAGTAGCATCTCCTGAGGGGTGGGCCCAGGTCTTGTGCAATCTGAAACTAAACAGGCAGATGAGGCCAGTCTCAAGGGCCAAGTCAGGAGTTTCCACAGGCAACAGGGAGTGATGGTTTTAGGAGGCCAGCCCAGGAAGCCATGTGGAAAGGAAGAGATGACATGGGCTTGAGCCAGACAGCAGGGACAGGAGGGGACAGACACAAGGGCCATTACCCTTGCCAGGCACTATTAGCATTTGCTTGTCCCCTGCTTCTTTCTGGTGCCAATTTTCTTCAGAGTAGCAATGTGCTCTGCCCCAAGGTGATAGGTCATGGTTGGTCTGACTCAGACATAATGATCCTGCTCCTGTTTCCCAGACTCTTTTGTAGTTAAGAGAAGTTCTGGCCAATAAGACATGAGAGGAAACCTGACACAGAGGCCTCTCCAGAGCATCACCTTTCCTGATCCTGAGTGATGGACAAGAGCAGCACAGCTTCCTCCCTAGAAGGCAGTCTTGAAAGCAAGTGTGACATCCGGATCTGTAGCAGCCATATTGCATCCATGAGACAAAAACACGAGGAAGACCAAAGGATTCTCTGGGGAGCTGGTCCTGAAGTCACTAAGCTGCAGACCCAGCTGTGGCCTACCTCTGGGCTTCTTGTTATATGAAGAAATAAGCCCTGTTCGTTTAAGCTACCACCAGTTCCTCTGTTCCCTGTAGTCTGATGCATTTCCAACAGACATATTACCCATTTGCAAGTTGTTCCTAAGTTATGACCAGCAGGCACTGGGCACTGTTTAGATAAGGGAGTGAAAGAAAGGCCAGTATCAAGAGTGACATCCATACTTCTAGGCAGGATGGGGAGCAGGGGCAGGGTTGATGGACTCAGTTTGACACATGTTAATTTGAGAGCCTCCTGGGCAAACAGGTTGACAGGCAGGAGGAAGTCAGTATAGCTCTGGAGCTCAGAACAGGGGTCTCCAGTCTCAACTGGACTGGGAGGGGTGAAAACCATCTATCTGCCTGAGGTTTGTGGCTAGGACCCCCAGTGCAAAGCTATCAGCAAGCCAAGGAAGGGGCTGAGAGGGACAGAGAGGAAGAGAAAACAGACAGCCAAGGAGTAGGGGCAGCCAGTGGTCACTGTGTCTAGCCACTTATAAATGGTTAAAGAAACAAGAAGCAGTGGTGATTCTTCCAGTGTAGCAAATTGGGAAACAGGGTGAGGGCAGGGACTGCTTGTCCAAGGGCTCAGAGCTGGCTGGGACTCCCTACACCCAGCCATGCTGGCCCCACGTGACATGGGCTCCTGTGGCTGCATTAGAACCCAGGAGGCTGCCACCCTGGGGTGACTTGGGACAGCAGTGGGAGGGCAGAGGAAATTCCCCCAGCCTAGCCCCAAAAGCTCAGTGGCTACTGGCCACATTCTCACTCACTTTCCCCACATGCATGGTGACACCCCGGGGGAAGCTTCCTCCTGCACTTTCTCCCCTGAGGTTGTAAATTTCATCAGTAGCTTCCTCCGCAGTGTGATGGGGGTGGGGTCGGAAGGGACCTGAGGGGGAAGAAATGTCCCCGGCAGGGGGTCAGGCAGGCTGGGTAATAGGAACTATGCACCAGGGCGTCTTGTAAGACAAGGTCATGAGGCACAGATGAGGGTCAGAGAGGTCAACTAACTTGCCCAAGTTCAGTTGGGAGGCTGGGATTTGAACCCCAGCAGTCAGGCTCCAGAATTTTGCTTCTTAACACTGGCTTCCAGCAGCTCAGCAGCTTTTGATGGAGACTTAGATACCTCCCAGCCCTTCGCAGCCTATGTCCCCATGGGTAGTAACAGAAACTGTAGCAAACCCGCATGTAGCACAGACATTATTCCCAGCCCATCAGGACACATGTGCTTCTTGGATCTCATGGGAGCAGAGGCGCTGGACACGGAACTAACAATTACATCATTTAAATGGTCATAGAGCTATGAAGGAAAATGACATGGCATTTTGAGCTTCAAGAGGAGTTTGGCCCTTGTTACAGTCCCTCCAAGAATCAATATCGCAATAGACAGGAGAGGCAGGGAGCTGGCATGTGTGCAGCGGAGGCCCATGTGCCCTTAGAGGGGAGCAGGGCATCCTCAGGGTGAGGGCAGTCAGGGAGGTGCCAGCGGTCAGCCACAAAGAAGGGTCAGCCACAGACGGCGGGAAAGCCCTTTTGGGCAGGGGGACGGCAGGTGCAAAGCCCATTGCCACACGTGAGAGCACATTCATGAGGATACATTCGAGGACCCATGGGAGCTGGGCTCGCTCGAGCACAGTGCACAGGGTGGAAAGTGACCAGAGGAGAACCACAGAGAGGCAGAGCTCATGTGGGAGACCCTCTGTGCTTCATGGAGGGGCTGAGTTTCCCTGGGGTAGGGGTGCCAAGGAAGGGGGTTAAATACGCCAGCAGATGGTCTAGGCACAGATAAAGGAAGGTCTAGAACGGTAAAGGCCGATTCCCCTGAGAAGATTCTTCTTTGTGTTCTGGCTCTTCCCCCCTTCGGAAAAATGGGGACAATATGTTTTTGGTTGGTCATGAGGTCCCATCTGTACTAAGCACAGCCCTAAAATCCCCACAAGGGCAGGAACTCTGCTCATGCTGCATCCCCAGTGCCCAGAACAGAGCCTGGCACACAGTAGGTCCTCACCATGTGGCTGCTGTCTGCATTTGTGTTTAGTGAGGCCTCTGATAGGTAGTGTAAGGGGGACCCAGGTGGCCAGCAGGGGTGGGCAGGGAGGCTGCTGCACAGGGATGGGGGAGGGGTGCAGGAAACCCAGCTTGAAGTCATCTGGAGTAGCCCCTTCCTGGAAGACTGAGCCCAGGCCCTGCTGGGGCTCGCCTGGACCCAGTGCACATTTGGCTATTCACGTAAAGTCCACTTTGGAGTCGAGACCGAGGCCGGCAGCTGTAAGAGCCCTTGGAGAGCAGCTAGTTCTAGTTTCACAGCACCTTGCACATAGTAGGTGCTCAAAACAGGGCTGTTAGAACCGAACTTGCCACCCTCTGGCAGCCCTCTCCGTCACTGGATATCTTGGGGTGCCTGAAAGTCCTGTTGTGTGAACCTGCTCCCTCTCATCATGCCCTGTGCTTTGGCCTCGAGCAGAGCACTCCAGGCCTGCTGTCAGGGAGGCACTTGGGGTGCAGGAGTCCACAGGCCCCAGGACCTGGCTCAAAAGCTCCACAAAGTGGTGGCCCTGCCCCCTCTGGTGTCAAGACTGATGCTCATCAGAGACAGGAATGGGAGGAAGGGAACACAGTCCTGCTGGCCAGCCCTTGACATCATCTCCTGAACCCTCTAACCCCAAAGCAGGAAGTGCCCCCCAAGCCTCAAACAGCTGCTATTGCAGGAAGATTGGAGTTTGCGTGCCAGCCTGGTTATGAGAACTTATGGAAGAGGAAGTCTTACCAACTTCATCCAGCCCCCAGCACCGCCCTCTGTGGGTCAGGAGGGCCATTCTGACCCCCTAAGTATTTGCTTCTGCTGGTCCTCCTCACCCCTACACACAGTCAAGACTGCACTCTGACCTTCAGCCTCTGGAAATTCCACCCCAGGTTCTACCTCCAGCCCCCAGCTCTACCACGGGCCCTCTGCTGCCCACTTAGGGCCTAAACCATCCTGACCCATCTCTCTCTGCTGGCTTCCACAAAGTGTATACAGGCATCCACCTCCAGATGTCAACTGCTGTTCCAGTCCAGGGGGGTAGGAGCTAGGCTCTGTCCCTGGGGCCCCTGCAGCTTGGAACACAGACCTGACTGCTAAGGAAAGTCTGAAACATCCTTGCTGAGAGGTGAAGCTAGGCCCAGCCTTGTAGTCACTCTAAGTGACCCTGAGTGAGTGCTTTATCCTCCCTAGGCCTCGGTTTCTCTATCTGTGCAATGGCAAGTTTGGACTAGAGGGATCTAGTGCATTTTTTCCAGCTCAGAAATCCATTCACTCATTCATTTATTCAGGAACACGTATTGAGCACTTAGTAGGCACTGACCCTGTCCTACATCCCACGGATACAGCAGTGATCAAAACATACAAAAGACTTCATGGAGCCAAGGATAGAGAAAAATTTAAAAATTGAGTAATAAAATTATGCCAGTAACATTAGGACTATGTATAAAATGGAAACAGGGTGAGAGATCAGAGAGCAATGAGGTAGGAGCTGTCAGGGAAGGCTTCCTGGAGGAGGTGGCACTTGAACCAAACCTGAATAAACAGGGAGAATAATCCAGATTCTGTGACTCAGTTTGAACAGAAGATGGAAAGCCATTACTGACCACAATGTGGGGCAAAGAGCCCCAGCCTGGGCCTTACAACACCTGTGTTCCTATCCAGACTCTGTCGCCCACTTGGTGTGTGGCCCTGAGTATGTCACTCCCCTCTTTGAGTCTTGGTGTTCTCATTTGTGTCTGCTGGTGGTAAGCCACAACTCAAAGGTTCCTTAAATGCAGACTTCTGAGAGTCTGCATTTCTGAGTATTTGGATTCTGACTCAACCCCCACCTCTGCTGATCATAAGGGGCTGCAGAAGGCTGAGCTCTGCCCCCAAGGCCTGCTGGGAGCAGGGAGGGGCCCAGGGAAGACAACAGCCCGGCACTCACCTCTCGGCCCGCAGCTGCTGGGCCAGGGCCATGATGGGAAAGGGTCCAGGGGAGCAGGTAGAGGGTCTCACCCAGCCAGGCCCAGGCTGAGTTCACCTCTCACTTCCTCCAGCCACCCTGCCCTGCGTCCTTTCTCAGCCTGTGGGCCTGGGAGTCCCCAGGAGCTGCCTTGAGGGAGGCCCACCCTGCTGTCTCCACTCTAGCAGAGGCTCCTCCTCCAGCCCCGTGTCTGGCCTGTGGCCCACACTTCCTCTTTCCCCACCTCCCAGCTGCACAGCAATTGAGGAACTGCCCACCCTCAGGCACCAAGTCTGCCTCGATGCCCATCCTTGGTGCCAACCCTCAATTGGGCATCAGAAGCCTCCACTCCATCAGAGGTGGAGTTCCACTGCTGACTCAGCCACCAAGGGGCCTTGTGACCAGGGGAGTCACTACTCATCCTCCAGCCCAACTGACCCAACCGTCACTCCCTCACTGCCACACCTTTGCCTAAGCTCTTCCCTAGGCCTGGAAAACTGGCCTTCATCTTGCCTGCCATCTCTGAGGCCCCGTGCAAATGCCACCTCCTCCAGGAAGCCCCCCTGGCTTCCCTGACCTCTGTTGTAGTAGAGTGTGAAGGTTGGTTCGTGCTCCCATTTTGTCCTTACCCTGGCACTCTGGGATGACCTTTTCTCATCCCTAAACCCCTGTGCCCAGCCAGCCCTCTCTGTGGGACTGCCACCTGATCACATTCTCCGGCTTAAACTCTTCAACTGTTTCATCCCGCACACAGGAGAAAGTCCGAACGCCTCATCCTGTCTGCCTCTGAAGCCCTCAAGGACCCACTGCATTTCCCTGGCCTCTTTTCCTTTTCTAGAATGCTCCAAGATGCTTACCCCTCAGGATCTTTGGGTATGGGTCCTCTCTGCTGGAATGCCCTCTGCCCTGACCCCTCACCCTAAATGAAGGCCCTCCCTACCACCATCTATCATAGGTCCCTGTGCTGTCACTGCAGAACTCTGGTAGCTGCAGTAATTTCCTACTTGTTTGTGTATTTACATGCCTAGTGGCACCTGGTGGCTCTGAAACTCCTCCTAACACTGGGGCTATTTGATTCTGAGCTCTCCCAGAGGAAGTCCACAGGAGGGAAGGGCACAGCCACCCCAGGAACTCCCAAAAGGGCACACACGCACTTATAGGCTTGTATTCACGTCACACTCCGCATCACAGATGCAGAGAAAGACACAGAGGGTGAGATGAGGAAGCAGCTGTGCCTTAGGCATCGGTGTACGGGCCTTTCTGACAGGCAGGCCCTTCTGCTCCCTCTGCTCCAAACCCAGGCCGCGTTAGGAGACCTAGGACTTGGACCAGGGTCTATGGAGCCAAACCTAGAGCCAGGGTCTCTCACTTCCCAGACAAAAGGACCAAAACAGGAGCTATTCTCAGGGTGCCCAGGGCTGCCTCTCTCCAGGAATGGAGAGAAGCTGGAAGCTTCATGCTCTCCTTTGAACCTTGTCCCTGCTCTGCCCAGCCACCCATGGGACCTGCTGCCCCAAATTGAACTGAGGGTAGAGCCAGAGTCCCCAGGATGGAACGTGCTCTGGGCCAAGTCACACAGCCCTGGTGCAGCAAGAATCTCCTTCAATTCATCCAGCCATACCAGGGACCAGGGCTCTTCTAAAACCAGGATCCCTTAAGGATTCTTAGGACGAAGAGACAAGTCAGAGAAAGAGGAAGGCACAGGAAAGAAACATGGAGAGATAATCGCGAACTCTTCCTTGAACAAGGCATTTAGAAGACAGATGTAAATCAAGGCGGCAGAGTGAACAAAAGGTGAAATTTCCCATCTGACTCCAAATAGGAAAAAATTGCTAGATGACCTGTTTTTTAAAGTATTTTAAACAAACAAATCTCAACTCAAAAACAAGTACAATTTGTAGGTTCTAAGACAGGGGCCAGCGACCAATTCTAGAGAAAGGGGCTTGTAGCCCAGTGTCCATGGGGAAGCCGAGAATGGATATACAGGGTTGGGACTAAGATTTTAAGGCCTCATCTGGGACCGGGCCCATGCTATGGGGCCTGCTGTGGGTGGAAAGTCCAATCTGAGCTCCCAGTGTGAAGTTGTGGTCAGAACTGATTAAGGGAATAGAGTTCTCAGCCGTCAGCCTGGCGTCACAGTAGGAGTGAAGGGCCCACCCAGGCTATGAGTGGACCAAGGGGCGTGTGGAGCAAATCAGAGCTGCAAGCCCAACGTGCGAACCCTTGTGAGGCCTGGATATGAGCTCCCTGTGCGATGCACAAAGCCTAAGCCAGGGCATTACATAAAAAGGTTTGGAGGCAAGAGTCTGCTAGGCTGCTCTGTGAGCTCACAAACCAAAACTCCAAATCCTTCAGAGGACGTTTAGGCTGTCAAACAAAGTCCACAGACTCTTCAGACGCCAAAGAATTTATACCAGAACTAGAAATAACGCAACAACGAATCTGGCGAGTCACTGCTGTCTCAGGGCTTCCTATAAAAGGGATGAGCTGATTGAAAGAGAAAGAGCAGAACAGGCTTATTCGTGGCAAGTGACTGTAAGTACCAAGAGATGCAAGCCGCTAGCTACAACTGAGGGAGGAGGCATTGGCCTGCGGTTGGTCGGAGAAGACAGGAAATGGCAAAACAATTTTAGCAAGAAAGCAGGATCCGGAACCAGCAGGGGATTGTGGGGAGCCCAAGTGTATGGTTGAGAGCACATGGTTGTGTATGAACACACGCAACTTGCCTAGGCAAGTATGTGTTTGTGTTGTGCTTTAAAAAGAGCATAACATGTATACAGCAGTGGTACTGTGAGTATGGCAGAAGGTACTTAGATGCTTGAATCTAGGCAGGCACATAATGAGGTGTGTTTGTAACGCGTGAGCACAGGTGAGCTGGCGTGGCCTCTCGGGCCCTTTGTTTACTCATCTGTAAAATAGGCTTACTTAATGGGATCACGGTAATAGTTAATGAGAAAAGTGCCCAGACATATGGGAATTTCTTATTCTTTTTCATAGTTTTCAGTGTGGATGTCTGCATGTGTGTGTGTGTTTCATGTAAGACATGTAAGCCCTCAAGTTCAACTTTGCAGATTTCTTCAGGTCTGTCTACCCATATCCCTGTCCTCAAACACCAAGAAACCTCCTGTGGCCCTGGTTCAACCACCAGGCAGCCGCCTCTGCAAGGGGGGGACAGCAGTGTCGAGGGAAGAGCCCAGAGCCTGCCTGTGGTGGGCCAGCTCTTCCCCTCCCCCACTCGCTCCCTTTCTTCTGTTCTGCTGAACATGGCTATTTCTCTGGCTTCTTAGACACAGAACATTGCTGCTAATTTTATGCCCGAGCTCTGATACAGTGTAATTTGAGGCCAGACACTCTGTCAGCAATGGGCTCCCATCCTGCTGCGGCTGCGGGTCCTGTGTCTTCTTTCCCAGGCTGGGGCTCCTGCTACTGCTACTGCTGGGGGTGGTGGGGGGTTCAGGGGAATAGCCTAGAGGAGGAGCCAACCTCTTTACACATTCCACTAAGCAAGTGTTTACTGAGCCTTTCTGGGCAGGTACAGAGAAATACCTGATGCCCCACAGCCTGTGAGTGAACAACAAAAAAAGCCATTGAATGATAAGAATTGGTAGCTCGAAGTCCAGACATGGATGCTGGAGTATTTTATTCATAGAAGAAAGCACTCTGGCCCTCCTCCTCCACCAGCTTCCTTTGAGAGTACACCCATAACCTGACAACTCAGAGCTCAGAAGGAGCCAGTTGGGAGGAGGAAGAAAGCTGCTAGGAATATCAGGAGATGACAGTTAAGTGCCAGCCTGACCATGATGAAGAGGATGGAATGCTGAAAAAAACGGATTCGAGAATTCAAAAGCAAAAAGCAGAGGCTATTCAGAGAAGGGGCATCACAACATTACATCAGCTACCAAAGTCCATTCATAACCATGTCTCCAAGAAAAGGTTTAATACTCTGAGACAATACCTGGGGGGGTGGGCGGGGGTAGCCAGAACTCAGTGGGGACTAAATGTGCAAATCATAAATGCATAGTATCTTCTGTATGCATGTGCTGGGATACACAATGTAAGATTCTGCCCCCTTTCTGGAGATAAGGAAGTCTTTCTCCTTCTCAGGGCTGAGAACTTTAGCCTTCCAAACTTCATCCCAGTGGAGGCAAGCATTTTTTGCAGGACCAGGAGATGCCCCCAGGAGCTCATTCTGGGCACTCAGCAAATGCCCACTGCCTGCATCACCTACTCTCCTGGAGAAGAGAAAGAGAATCCCTGACTGGAATAAGCAAGATTCCTGGGGATCCCTCATGCACTGAATTCCCCAATCCTGACCCACATGTGTCTCCTTTTATAATTTATGAGAACAGCTTCACTGGACCTCCTACCTGAGCCATAAATAGCCATCCCTGGCAGCCCCCTCTCCCCTGCAGTATTGGAAGACAGGAGTGGTGTAGATGTGGCCAATTAGACAGCAAGCTCCCTGAAGGCAGAGGGCTCCCCTTACCTGAGAAGTCCTGGCACACAGCAGACAGAGCTGGGTCTGGAACTTGTGTGCCCTGGCTGTCAAGGACTAGCTGTACAGCCTCTCCAACCATCAGTTTTACTGATTATTTTTCTAAATGGGGATACTAGTATTTGTTCCATAGGATTATTGTATTATTAATTCATTCAAAAGGTATTGAGGACATACCATGTGCCAGATACCTACTGTGTACCAAGCTCTAAATGAAACAGTCATTGTGCTTGTGACTCTATAGGTGTGTTAAATAAGGCAATGAATGTTGGCTCGGCGCCTGTGGCTCAAGTGGCTAAGGTGCCAGCCACATACACCTAAGGTGGCAGGTTCGAATCCAGCCGGGGCCCGCCAAACAACAATGACGGCTGCAGCCAAAAAGTAGCCAGGCATGTGGCGGGCGCCTGTGGTCCCAGCTACTTGGGAGGCTGAGGCAGGAGACTCGCTTGAGCCCAGGAGTTGGAGATTGCTGTGAGCTGTGATGCCATGGCATTCTACCCAGGGGGACAGCTTGAGGCTCTGTCTCGAATTAAAAAAAAAAAAAGGCAATGAATATTGAGTGCTTAGGACAATGGCTGGCACATAGTTGGTGGTCAGTAAATTACAGGTGTTAATGTTATTCTTGAGGATAATTTTCTTGATATGACTTTTTCCCTTTCCCTCCTTTCTCTATCTCCCTCTGCTCCCTTCTGTCATACAACTTACATT